CCTCCTCCTCCTCCTCCTCCTCCTAATCCGTCTTCTCCTCTTCCTTCTTCTCCTCCCATTGTGGGGGCATCGGGCGGCGAGAACTATGCATGTGTCGCCGCGCTGTTTGTTCCGACGCGCGGCCTTCCGCCGTAGGGAGTGCGCCGCGGGCACCCGGGCGAACGCCGCCTGGGAGCGGTGGGCTCGCCGTGGGGTGTGCCGCGTTGCCGGCGTCGCCCTCTTGGGGTGCGGGGCGCAGGGCTTGCTGTGGTTTTGCCGTGGTGTCGGCGTCGTCCACTGGGGCGCGTTGAGAACAAACGGCGCGGCGACATAACATCTGCCCTTGGCCAGGAGCAGTGGATATGTATAGTTTTCGTCTGTCCGCCCCTAGTCGTGGCAGTTCGTCCATATCTGCCAACGTGGACTCCACGTAGAAGTCTGTCGATCACAGCTGCGGTAACGAAAGGCACTTACATGAAACGAGCAGCTCGTTCTGCAAAACGTACGCGTACCTCAGCTACCCTACCGGGAGTTGCGGCAGACGAGGCGGAGGGCAGGCGAGCGAGAGAATGCGAGGGACGCGAGGCGAGCAGAGGCGAATGGAAGCGAGGCGATGGGAGGGGCGTGTGGAGGCGAGGCTAGGCGGGTGGCTTACCGCCGGCGTGCCGTCTGCGAGGCTCCTTGGCCGGCGCCAGACGAGGGTGTCGGCGCACCCCCACCAGCCAGCCTTCGCCGAGCGCGTTCCACTACTCGCACAGTGCCTACTCGCAAACGCTCAGGAAGAAAACGCGTCTGCCTGGGTGTCACGGATAGGAACTCCCGCCCGCGGCGGGCCCAGGCCACTCGCGAGCATTCACCCTGCGAGCTTCATCCCGGGTCGGTTTGTTGACGGGTCCAGTGCTCGGCGAGGGCCCCTGAGGCCGAAAAATGCTGAAGACTTCCCGCCGCGTTTCTTCGCGACGAGAGGAGGTTTGGGTTCATTGCCACGATGCGATGGACAGGGGAGGCGAAGGGAGCTACGCTCAGGGAGCAACGCATCGACCCCGAATCCCCCATCCATCGCCGACAGGGGCCCGATAGCCCACCCCGCCCGGGAACGTGGGGCCGCCGCTCTCGGGGGCCTATCGCCGCTCTCTCGGCGATGCCTCGCCATGTACAGGTCGACGCTTCCCCCGCCTGAGCAAGTGCCCATCGAGCGTTGCCCCTCAGATGCGAGGGGGGGAGGCAAGGGGGGGGGGGGGGGCCGCCCCCCGCGCGCCCGCCCCGCCGTGCCCGGAGGAGTCCGAGAGGCAGCCCGACGGACCGGAGAGGCCGCAGCGCCCCGCCGAGCTGGGTGCACGCCTAAGGGAGGGAGGGGGAGGCTCCGTCGTGAGGCGCGAGGGGCGCGACGACGACGACGACGACGGCCGACGGCCGACGACGGCGACGACGTCCGACGGCCGACGACGACGACGACGACGACGACGACGACGACGACGACGACGACGACGACCGACGGCCGACGGCCGACGACGACGACGACGACGAGGACGACGACGACGACCGACAGCCGACGGCCGACGACGGCGGCGACGACGACGACGACGACGACGACGACGACGACGACGACGACGGCGGCGGCGACGATGACGACGGCGACGACGACGACGAGGACGACGGCGGCGGCTGCCAGGAGGGGCTGGCCCGAGCTGGGACCGTTCACGCCGTCGTCGCCTCTCACGCGGCTGGCATCCTCGAAGAACAGAAATCGTCATAGATATGATTACTTGTGAGCCATCTTGAGGCATCTTGGACTATCTTGAGCCACCTTGGAGGTCATCTTGAGCTCTCCGGAGCCCTTTTACAGCCGTCTTGGGCCATCCTGGATGCTCCAACTACCCGCGAAACCCCCCGTCCAGGTCCAGGGGAGCGTGTATGGGGAAGGGTTAAGACAGCTTCTCCGCACGCAGGCTGTCTAGCTCACTCCCACCCGCCCTCCCACCACATAAGTGGCATCCGAGTCTCGGCATAGCCAGGGGTCGCCACTGGATGGACAGCCACTGGGAACCAAAGCGGACGCCAGGTGCGCGACGTTCGCCACGGGCTTCACATGCGGTTGGTGTGCCATCCTTGTAAAAAAAACGTGATGCCCCCCATCCGCATGGTCCAGATGCTGATGTGAGGGGCGTCAGCATTGTTCTGGACCTGCGCACAGGAAGCATCATCATGCGGGCACCACCGCCGTCCCTGTCAAAAAACGATACAAAGTGATCGCGGCTGGCCAGCACAATACCCACGACGTTGTCACAACGTGCACTTTGCTTTGTTTTTGACACGGATGGTGGTCCTGCACAAAGCGGCTTCACTAAGGGTGCCCCGCCATCCTTGTCAAAAACAATACAACGTGCTCACAGGGCGCCGGCGCACAGTTCAGATGTTGCTGCAATGTGCACTTCGTATTGTGGAGGGTGTTGGCAGGGTGGGCCCCGCAATGTGCATTTTGTATTGTGTTTTGAAAGGGATGGTGGGGTGGGTGCCTCATGGTGTGCGCACGGTTCGACAGTGATCAACCCCTCCAAGAAGGGGAAGGAGGGGGGTGGAAGAGGAAGTTCCCTGGACCACCTACGCCCAGAGGGCTGGTGGGATTTCTCGGAGGGCAGGCTCCGCCATGAGCCAAGCGGGTCCTGAGGTCCGAGGTTCTCGAAGAACAAAAAGAGTGAAACGTCACAAAGCAGAATTCCTCTGAGGACAGGCTCCGCCATGGGGCGAGCGGGTCTTGAGGTCCGAGGCTGTCGAACAAGAACAACAACAACAACAACCACCAAAACAACAACCAAAACAACAACCAAAACAACAACCAAAACAACAACAACAACAACAACAACAACAACAACAACAACAACAACAACAATAATAATAATAATAACAACAACAACAACAACAACAACAACAATAGCAGCAACAACAACAGCAGCAACAACAACCGCAACAACAACAACCGCAACAACAACAAACAATACAACAACAACAACAACAACAACAACAACAACAACAACAACAACAACAACAACAACAACAGCCACAACAACAACAGCAGCAACAACAACAGCATCAACAACAGCAACAACAACAAAACTGCATAAAACATGATTCCTCGGAGGGCAGGCTCCGCCATGAGGCAAGCGGGTCCTGAGGTTCGAGAGGTTCTCGAAGGACCAAACAGCTCCTAAAACATCATTTCTCGGAGGGCAGGCCCCGGCATGAGGCAATCGAGTCCTGAGGCCCGAGGTTCTAGAAGCACCAAAAAACGTCATAAACATATCTGTTCGGAGATCCGCGCGGATTTCTTGAATCCGCGATAGGCCCCCCTGGCGGCGCCTCCGGGGGTCCCGCGCCGATCCGAGAAGCCCGCGCGGACTTCGGAAAGTGTATTATCAGGATCTTCTTGTTACTGCTCTAAACCGGGTCTTGAGGTCCGAGGTTCGCTTTTTCGTAAGTCCTCGGCGGCTTCCCAGCCTCGGGATGCTCTCCAGCAACTGCGCCACGCCAAGAGCGCTCCGGGAGCGCGTCGTCCCGAACGGCCGCCGGAGACCCGAGCCGTGGCCCGAAGCCCTTGGGGAAGGGGTCCTTGTGGAGCACGGGTCCCAAGGTTGTTCTCCGTGGTCGGGCCTTCGGGGGCCTCCCTGGGGCCCCACGCGGTCGACGAGCCAGCCGGGACGAGGACGCCTTTGTCCTGGGGGAAGGGCCCCGGGTGCCAGGACGCGCTCCCCTCCGGACCCGCTCCCGGGCGTGCGGCGTCTCGGCTTTCCTGGAGCGTGGCCCCGGGAAGTCTCGGCCCTTTTTCCCCGGGGACCTGCGCTGCATCCTGCGTCGTTGTTGTTGACGTCTAGGCCTCCCAGAGGGGGTCGGAGTAGATGTGCTCGAAGGCTCGCGCCGCATCGCCGATGCATCGGCGATGCCGGTCGATTCAGAGCCCGACTTCCGCCACGCCAGTGGCGCCAATGCCTCGCCGGTGCATCGCCGGTGCATCGCCGATGCATCGCCGATGCATCGGCGATACGTCGGCGATGCAGTGGCGCTGCGGCGCGAGCCTCCGACCCCATCTGCTCGGACCCCATCTAGGAGGCGTCTATGACGGACGGTCCTGGGGCCCCGCGAGAGCCCCAGCCGGCCGAGGCGAGGTTGCGACGAGCCTCGGCCTGGGCCTTGTGCGCACGACGCGAGCACGCCCTGGGCCTCCGTCGTGCCAAAGGCTGCCCCCCGGCAGGCGGGCAGAGAAGGCCCGAGATGTCCGTCCCAAGACCGTCGCGGCCGCGCAGGTGCCAGCCTAGGCCTCCTCAGATGGGGTCTGCGCAGATGGGGTCGGAGGATCGCGCCGCGTCGCCGATGCCTCGCCGATGCGGCTCGACGTGGAGCCCGTGTTCCTCCGCGCCGACGTCGCGGATGCATCGCCGATGCATCGGCGATGCATTGCGGCGCGATCCTCCGACCCCATCTACTCGGACCCCATCTAGGAGGCCTCTAGATGAGGAACAGGTGTTGATACCGCTTCCCTTGGCCGAATGTCGCCTTCTTGCTCTGGAGGCCCTCGCCACCGCGGGATTCGCGTCGAGATCCTGGTCGGAACGCAGCCCGGGAGCGGCCCGTGGCTCGGGTTCGCCCGTTTGGGCCTCCTGGGAGGCCGCCGTCGCCACCGCTGGCTTCGCCTCGAACTTCTGGCCAGGGCGCCCCGCTCCAGGGCGGCGGCGCGAGAGGGCGCGGACGGCAGCGCGCCGCGCCTCGGGGGGCGCGACCCGCGAGGCTGGGTGGAAGCTGGAGCCGCCTGGGCGCCTGAGGTGGCCCAGCACTGCCTCCCTCCTCCTCTTCCTTCTCATCCTCCTCCTCCTCCTCCCCCTCCTCCCCCCCCCCTCCCTCTCCTCCTCCTCCTCCTCCTCCCCCTCCTCCTCCCCCTCCTCCTCCCCCTCCTCCCCCTCCTCCCTCCTCCTCCCCTCCTCCTCCCTCCTCCTCCTCCTCCTCCGCCTCCTCCTCCTCCTCCTCCTCCTCCTCCTCCTCCTCCTCCTCCGCCTCCTCCTCCTCATCGCCTGCAGGAGGGGCGGGCAGGTTCGAGCGTCCGGGTTCAGAGAAGGGTGTTTGCTTTGCCTGTCTCGGCCTCCTGGGGCCGCTCGTGGCCCCCGGGGGACCGTGTGCGGAAGGGGCCCAGGGTCAAAAGCTGCGCCAGAGGGGGCCTCAGGAGGGGTGCGGGGACCGATGTTGCGCGGATCTGGAGCCGCGCTTCGCGGGGCGCGACCCCCGCAGCGAGGGGGGGGGAAGTCCGGGGTATTTCCCAGAGCCCGCGTGGCCTTGGAGGGGTCGGGATCGAGGAGGGCTCGGACCGGATCGGCAGTCCGCGGAGGCTCCACCGTGTGGCGTTCGCCAAGGGGGAAGGGGAAGCAGTTAGCACCCTCAGCCCACAGGCGGGGCCTCGGTGGGCCTGGCTGGCTGTGTAACGGGGGGGTCTCGATCCGCATGTCTGGAAGTGCGGTCGTCTTGCCCGCAGGCCGGAGCCCAAGGCGGGAGACGCACGGCGACGCGCGAGAAAAGGCACCTTCAGCTTTCGCCTGGCGTTGGTCCGCCCGTGCGGACGTGGCCCAGACCGTGTAGACGACGAGCCGAGGCAGACTCGCGGAATTCGTCTGCCCGTCTTCTCCTTCCTGTGCGAGGGATGCACGCCAAGCTGCACGGCGCGATGTCGGGGTCGAGGGGAGGGTCCCGCCGTGCCCCTCCCTCGACGACTGCAGGTACGGAGGAGTGGTTCTCAGGGCCCCCCTCGTCGGTACACCATGTCGGCCTGCTGGTGTTGAGCCCATGAGGACGACCTCAGGTGCTACATCCATCGTTCGCTTTCGCCGAGCCACCGTGCGGTAGGACAGGCGCACAGGGCGCCAAAGGCTTCGAGGTAGGCGGAGGACGAGATGGAGAAGGCTGTGGACGAGAAAGTCGAGAATGCCAGCCTAGAGCGGCGTGCATCCCCATGCTTCTCGCATCGCCCTCCCCTCCCAGCCGCCTCCCGCCAGTCGTCATCTTTGAATAGTTATCGACCAAATTTCGAAGTTTGCCCAGCACAGCAGCGCACCAACAGAGTTATTGCCAGACACCCTACATTATGAAGGATGTGATAAATCAGAACTGCCTGCTCATGAACTTGGTTGATACGCTCGCATACGCACACCAGCTACCTGTAGGACATGCGAATATCATGATACGCGCTCCTGCGCAATAGGATACAATGCATCATAATGGAACGCGCGTATGTGGATCGTGATATCACATAAAACAGTTGTGCATTGCGTCCTGTCTCTGGCCAGCATCACTGCCCCTGCACAGTCAGAGGCCACTGCATCGCTGGGCCCTCGTGAGCCGCATCGTCAGCGCACCGGGCATCGAGAAGATGAGCTACCAGTCCCTCTTCCAGGAGCCAGAGGGGAGAGGGGCACGAGAGAAAATGGTGGTCGATATGGGCAGGGTGATGGTGCCTGTCCCGTGCTCAATAAGTGGAGGATGCAAGTCAGAGAGGGGGGGTTCTAAGAATATGCATTGGCCATCTCGGCTACAGGAGAGGCCGCCACCTTCGCTGGTTGCCAGGATGCCACAGAAGTGACTACATCTGTTCGGAGGGGCGTTCCCCACCCCTGTCCATACAATGACAACCTTACTAACTTGCTTGCAGCGAGGGGCACCAAGGTAATGGGAGCGGTGTGGACATAGGGCTGAATCGAACGACGTACGATGACAAGTTGACACATCAGAGGCTTGAAAGATGCGATAGAAACAAGCTGCAGCAAAGATGGCCCAAACAGACGGCGATATGTTTATATATTTGTTGAGTATACATCCACATACATACATACAGATCCATACATATACGTACATGCATACAAACATGCATACATACATGTGCTTATGCATATACATACGTACAAATACACACACGAACTTTATATTCATACATCCAATAAGTGTTCCCTCAGCAGCGTGTTTCTAGCAATCTACGTGGTGCAACCGACGTGGTGCAATCTAGGTTGTGCACTCGATTGTGCTCAAGATACGTATGTAAGTTGTGCAATGCACTGTATCATGTGCACTGTACTTGGTGCACTGTATGTCGCGCAATCTATGTGGTGCAATATATGCTGTGCACTCTAGGTGGTGCAAAGTATGTTGTACAACCAATGTGGTGCAAGTTATGCGTTCACTATACGGTGCGCAGGCTACGTGGTGCAGTCTAAGTGATGCAATATACGTGGTACAACCTATGTCGTGCAATCGATGCGGTGCTATCAATGTAGTGCAGCCTACGTGGTGCATCATATGGTGTGCACTCTATGTGGTGCAACCGATGTCTTGCAAAACACGTGGTGCTAGGTTCGATTGACTTGGACTTCCTCGCGCGCGGCCACCTCCTATGCTCGCGCAAACATCCCACCAACCCACCCGCAACTGGGTTTGCAAAACCCATGCGGCGGCGATTGCGATGGCTGCTTGGCGCTGGCTGGTGCATCGTTACGGCCGCGCTAGCGCACGCAGGCTCGCACGCAAAGCGGCCAGCTAGTTTGGCGCGACGGACGCAGCCGCGGTAGCGCTGACCGCTGGGACGTCCCCAACGCGTCCCGCAGGCCGCGGTGACGCGCGGGCACATCAGTGTAAGTCGGTGATTCGGGTGGGCGCGGTATCATGGCGACGCAGACACCGGCCGACACGACGACGATAGTAGCACTATGTGTGGTGATGACGATTGTACTGATGACGACAAGGGCAATAACGGCGCCGATGTTGGTCACGCAGATGACGATGATGGTGTCCCCGCGTCGGTGATGAAGGTTTGTGAAAGATTTTGCCACCCGCGAGCGGTCGACGCGCGCACGTGGCCCGCATGGTGTTCTTTGTCAGTGATCGTGCCCCCCAGCACGCGCGCAAGGGCGTCCGAATGATTGCGACGCGCGCGGGAGAGGCACGTATGGTAGAAATGGATGACAATGTTGAGAAGCGCATGGTTGTCTTCAGAATTCGCACGAGCGCGAGCGCAGGTTTTTCTGATAAATGCTGCTGCGATGTCATTCGTGGTAGTCGGTTTTGAAATCCGTACGAAACCTCCGATGGTCTTTGCAAAAGTCTTCCCGCATGCGCGCGCGACGACGCGCACGTGTGCATTTCGTCGCATCTGTTGCAAAGAATTCTTAGGACAGCACGCGCGCAAGGGCGTTCGAATGAATTCCACATGCGCGCGCGAAAGGCACGCATGTCGCATTTGATGAAAATTGTTGAAAGTCGATAGTTTGCTTGAGAATTCGCGCAAGCGACAGCGAATGCTGTCTTGAAAATTCCGATTGCGAGACCACTGGTTGTTTATATGTTTTTCGGGACACTCGTTTTCGAAACCTTTACGGAACCCACGGTGTTTGAAGGATTGCGGGATGCGCGCGCGACGACGCGCGCGTGCGCATGTCGTCCTATTTGTCACAAAGGGATTAATGCAATGATCTTTGAAGATGCAGAATTGCGCGCGCATTGTATGTTTTTGCAAGGGATGAAAGGGGGGGGTCGATACCGGTTTGGTTGGAAGCATACGAGTTCATATTTAGATTGAACGATGGGGCCGAATCATATGTAATTTGCACATCCCCCGGGGGGATAAGTCTGGCCTCGGGAGGGCCTTGGATCCTAATTTTCTTTGAAAGTAAAGAATATGTGATGTGCAAGCGATGTGGTGCATTCCACGTGGAGCAATATATGACGTGACATGTTCGTGGTGCTTTCTACAACGTGCTATTTACGTTGTGCTATTTGGGGCGGCGACTGGGCGGCGACGGCGGCCACATAGCCGCCAGACCGACAGACAGGCCCACACGACTGGTGGCGACGAGGCGGCGACGGCGATCACATAGCCGCCAGACCGAAAACAAGGCCCAATTCCATAGAACAGAAATAAGATACGCATGAGTGCAAGCACTGTTTGGGGAATGTATATCTTTGTGTATATAAACATCTCGATAGGACCACCCTACGGGTGATAAGGAGGTTGGGGGTGAAGGAGAAGGTGGTCGATGTTCGATGACTCTCAATGATGGCGAGGCGGTGGCAGTGGCGGTGGCGGTGGCGGACAGGATCTTCTATCTCTTTATCGTTCTATATAACGATATATCGATCTATCGATCTATCTATATCTGTATCAATGTTTATATATGTCGGTCTACCAATATATATATATATATATATATAAATATATATATATATATATATATATATATATATATATATATATATATATATATATATATATATATATATATATACATATAACGGCGCACCGGGTCCGGGGGCCCCGGGGCCGGGACCCCGACCGCAAATGTGCACCCCGGGGGGCCCGGAGGCTCGTCGGGGCTTGCCGGAGGCCTCCCCGGTCAGACAAGACGGCCCCAGGAGCGCCCAAGACGGCCCAAGAAACTTCCAAGAGGCCTCCAAGAGGGCTCCGAGATGCTGAAGATGGCCTCCAGACGTCCAAGGACGCCCCCAAGACGCCCCAAGAAGCCTCCAACATGCGTCCCAAGAGGGCCCCTAGACGCAAAAATTGGCCCATTCCCTTCGTAAAACGTACATTTTTCACAAAGTTGCCTTTTGGGCTTTCCGACGTTACAGGACGGCCCAAGAGGCGCCCAAGACCGCCCCAAGACGGCCCAAGAAGCTCCCAAGAGGGCCCCAGGACAGCCCAAGAGGGCCCCAAGACGGCCCAAGAGGCGCCCAAGATGGCCCAAGAGGGCCCCAAGACGGGCCCAAGAGGGGGCCCAGAGGGGGACCACGAACCGCAAGCTCGAGCCTTCCGCCCCAAGAGGCCGCCAGGAGGCCCCCAGGAGGCCCCTCAAGAGGCCCCAGGAGACCCCAGACGTCCAAGGACGCCCCCAAGACGCCCCAAGAAGCCTCCAACATGCGTCCCAAGAGGGCCCCTAGGCGCAACAATTGGCCCATTCCCTTCGTAAAACGTACATTTTTCACAAAGTCGCCTTTTGGGCTTTCCGACGTTACAGGACGGCCCAAGAGGCGCCCAAGACCGCCCCAAGACGGCCCAAGAAGCTTCCAAGAGGGCCCCAGGACAGCCCAAGAGGGCCCCAAGACGGCCCAAGAGGCGCCCAAGATGGCCCAAGAGGGCCCCAAGACGGGCCCAAGAGGGGGCCCAGAGGGGGACCACGAACCGCAAGCTCGAGCCTTCCGCCCCAAGAGGCCGCCAGGAGGCCCCCAGGAGGCCCCTCAAGAGGCCCCAGGAGACCCCAGACGTCCAAGGACGCCCCCAAGAGGCCCCAAGAAGCCTCCAACATGCGTCCCAAGAGGGCCCCTAGACGCAAAAATTTACCCATTCCCTTCGTAAAACGTACATTTTTCACAAAGTCGCCTTTTGGGCTTTCCGACGTTACAGGACGGCCCAAGAGGCGCCCAAGACCGCCCCAAGACGGCCCAAGAAGCTTCCAAGAGGGCCCCAGGACAGCCCAAGAGGGCCCCAAAGCGGCCCAAGAGGTGCCCAAGATGGCCCAAGAGGGCCCCGAAACGGGCCCAAGAGGGGGCCCAGAGGGGGACCACGAACCGCAAGCTCGAGCCTTCCGCCCCAAGAGGCCGCCAGGAGGCCATCAGGAGGCCCCTCAAGAGGCCCCAGGAGACCCCCAAGAGGCCCAAAGGAGGCCCAAGGACAGCCCAAGAGGGCCCCAAGACGGCCCAAGAGGCGCCCAAGATGGCCCAAGAGGGCCCCAAGACGGGCCCAAGAGGGGGCCCAGAGGGGGACCACGAACCGCAAGCTCGAGCCTTCCGCCCCAAGAGGCCGCCAGGAGGCCCCCAGGAGGCCCCTCAAGAGGCCCCAGGAGACCCCAGACGTCCAAGGACGCCCCCACGACGCTTCGCGTCACCAAATTCTTCTCACAACGGTTCCTGGGTCTGTGACTCGACAGAACCTAAGCGCGCGCGAAGCGCGCGCGTGGTTCTAGTATATATATGTCGATCGACCTCTCTATCGGGTCAACCGTCGAGACAACCATCGGGACAACCGTCCGGACAACCGTCGGGGCAACCATCGGGACAGCAATCGGGGCAACCATCCGGACAGACATCGGGACAACCATCGGGACAACCATGGGGACAACCATCGGGACACCCATCGGGACAACCATCGGGACAACCATCGGAACAACCATCGAGACAACAATCGAGCCAACCAGCAGGACAACCATCGGGACACCCATCGGGACAACCATCGGGACAACCATCGGGACAACCATCGGGACAACCATCGGGACAACCGTCGGGACAATCATCAGGACAACCATCGGGACAACCATCGGGACAACCATCGGGACAACCATCGGGAAAAACATCGAGTCAACCATCGGAACAACCATCGGGACAACCATCGGGACAACCGTCGGCGCAACAATCGG